TGGGGAGAGGGAGTTCTCATTGGGGCCCAGGAGGGAGCAGTGTCTACAGGAGGAAGGAGGCCAGGTCACGTGCTAGGTCCTGAAAGTGCTTCTGTTCTTTTGTCCCGCTGCCCTGGGTGGGCTCTGACCTGTCTGGGCAGGCCCTCTGGGGAGGGTGGCACCATGTGGAAGCGGGAGGCAGGGCTTTTCTACGCCACCTCACCACGCACACACACACATACACACATACTTTTGTCCCCATCAGGTGATTCTCTGAAAGCCCAGGACAACAATTTCTTCACCACCAAAGACCAGGACAACGACCAATACAGCAGCGGGAACTGTGCTCAGACGTACAAGGGAGCCTGGTGGTACGCGAGCTGCCACTCGACAAACCTCAACGGTCTCTACCTTGGCGGGTCCCATGCGAGCTCTGCCGATGGCATCAACTGGTACTCAGGGAAGGGGTACAACTACAGCTACAAGATGTCAGAGATGAAGCTGCGACCCACCTAACGGGCCAGGAGGCCCCACTGGTCCCACCAGAGCCCCTTATCTGTCAGGGCGGAAGGCAGGGCAACATCAGACTCCTCGTTCTGTAGCCCCACTTGATCCATTTCCAACCACGCCTTGCTCTGTAAAGCCCAGTAGTACCCATCCCAGGAAACAGCAGACCCCAACCTCATTGCAATGAGTGAACAATGTTGATTATAAAGTGTTTGATTTCTGACAGCATCTTGCTTTACCAATTTTTATTTGCTTTTTCCAAAACCTCTCCCTAATCATGTTTCCAAATCCATTGTTCCATAAGCTTCTGTCTGCCGGGGTCCCTCTCTGGTGACCCACAGAGAGGAGGCGGAGGTGCTGTCCCGTCCACTCCCTCTTCTCTGAGGTCACTGTGCTCAGGTCCACTGCTGCAGCCCCAGTGCATCCCGAGGGCCGTCTCACCTAGGGCGTCCGCTCCAGCACCGACATGCACACTGTTCTGGGTTCCTGTTGGTTGATCATTGGATGTGAAGCACCAGGCCAGGGTTCCAGTCGGTCATAGTCTGGCAGCTCCACAGCACCGTCTGCTGGAGGTGTCCTCGTGTGATTAGAATCATCGGTGTGGTTTCCAGCATCACACCGACATACAAACCACCCTGTACAACACCCTCCCCAACATGCCTCTTTACAACATGCTACCTGTACAACACCCACACACACAACACGCACCTGTACAACACACCCCCAACACACCACCCATACAACACGAGCCTGTACAACAACCCCCCAACACACCACCCATACAACACAAGGCTGTACAACATACCACCCTGTACAACACACTTCCATACAACACACTCCCTCTACAATATGCCCCTTTACAACATGCCCCCATACAACAGGTGCCTGTACAACATACCCCGCTGTACAACACACCACCCATACAACATGTGCCTATACACCCTGTACAACACACCTTCATACAACATACTCCCTGTACAATATGCCCCTTTACGACATGCCCCCATACAACAGGCACCTGTACAACATACCCCCCTGTACAACACACCCCCCAACACACCACCCATACAACACGTGCCTATACAACCTGTACAACACACCTCCATACAACACACTCCCTGTACATTATGCCCCTTTACGACATGCCCCCATACAACACGTGCCTGTACAACATACTCCCCATACAACACACCACCAGTACAACACGCACCTGTACAACATACCCTTCTGTACAACATGCCCCCATACAACACGCCCCATGTACAATATGCCCCCCAAACAACATGTGCCTGTATAACATGCCCCCCTGTACAACATGCCCCTGAACAACACACACACATACGTAAAACACACCCCCTACAACACACCCCACCTACAACACTTTGCATACAACACCCCCATACAACACACACTTCAGTACAATACTCCCCTCTAGAACACCCCCCAATACAATATTCCCCACAGCCACCATACCACACCCGTCCCCTGTACAACACAGCTCCCATACAACACATCCCCTGTACCACACACTGATGACTAGTGGAGAAGTCTCAGAAATTTGGTAAATGAGGCAGAATTGGAACGCCCATCTGACAGGTGCAAGGACTGATGTCCAGAGAGGTTAAGTGGCCCTTTCATCCATTTCCAACCTCAAGCTCCAAGCCTGTTCCTTTCATTGACACCACTGGATACTCTTCTTCAGCTCTAACGCTCTGTGTCCCCACAACTCCTTGACAGAGTCCGTACAGGTTTCTCCCAAAGGTCATACTTGGCCTGAAAATGCCGATGAAGAGTTGTTGCTGTTGGTTCGCGTTGTCGGGTCAGTTAGAGCTCGTAGCAAACCCATGGCCAACATCCCAGAGCCTTGCTCTACTCCGCCCCCTCCTCCACGGCCCCAACACACACTGTTCCTGGGGCTGTGTCAGCCCGTCTCAGCAAGCCTCATCCTCTCCCTGCCTGACCCTCTGTCTTTCCCAGCAGGAGGTCTTTTCCCAAGGACTAGACCCTCCTGGCCACATGCCCAAGGGTGTCAGATGAGCATCCCCTCCTCCGAGGAGCACACTGGTTGGACCGCCCCCAGCACAGATATGTTTGTGCTTCAGAGTCCGTGAGGTGTTCATGAAAAGGGAGAAGGTCAGTTAAAGCGCTTCTGTTTCCAGCCTTGGCACAGTCAATGTTTCATGCCGCTTGTCTCAGGAAGAGAGCTGGGAAGGCCCACGCTGACCAGGAGAGAGGCGCTGCTGTGCCTTTTCAGAAAAGAGAGGTCAGTGGGATACACTTGTGTCATCAAAGAACACCTGAAGGGATACGCGAATGTACAGAGGGCCCGAAGCCCCTTGTGACTTGTATGCCTTTGGGTTTTAGTGGTTTCACTAAACCACTGGTGGCTCTTTGGGCATGTGGCCAGGAGAGATTAGTTCTTGGAGAAGGACATCATGCTCGGAAGGGTGGACGGACAGTGCGGGAGAGGGAGACCCTGGCTGAGCTAGATTGATACAGTAATTGGGGCGATGGGTGTGTCAGAATTAGTGAGACTGGCTCAGGACAAGGAAGGGTTCAGCGCTGCTGTACACAGGGTCACTATACATCGCAGGCAACTCAATGGCTCATAAAAACAGTAACATACTATGACAGGTTTGGAAGCAGGAATGGTGTCCACTTCCTAAACAACATGCCTCTGGAAACTCAATGAACTTTAATAAATGTCAATAGTTGTAGTGGGGCTTCAGGCCTTGTGTTCACAGGGTCGCAATGAGTTGTGCTCGACTTGAAGACAATCAACAATAACAACAACAACTGGTGGCTCAGTGGTTGAAGTACTCAGTTGCTTGCCAAAAGCTTGGTTTCTTTGAAACCACCCTTTGTTTGGTGAGCGACCCGTGTGTCAGTCCACTTTTGTAGAGTTCTCAGGACTGAGAGCCTGGTGGCGGGCTCTGCTGTGCTGTAAGGTAAGTAGGGACGGAACCAATCCAGTGACAGGCGCTTTTCAGTTACTTATCATGTGAGAAAAAGGTGAGGCACCTGTTCCCCATGAAGATTGCAAACCGGAGACCTACTGGGTGGCTGGCTGGAACTCACCCAGGGAGGTGATTCTGTTGCTGCCAGTTTGTGGTTTAAGATAGCGCAGGTCTCCTGTCTTACAACCTGGAGGCCAGAAGTCCAACGTGGGTCTCACTGAACTGGAATCAGGATGTTGGCAGGGTTGTAGTTCTCCTGGAAGCTCCGGGGAGAATCCATAGCCTTGTCTTTGCCAGTTCCACCCTCTTTCTGAAGCTCGGGGCCCCTTCCTCTACTTCCTTCAAGGTCAACATCACATCTCTGATCTTTCCCCTGTGGCCGTGTCTCCCTGTGACCACAGAGGTGTTTTCCTGCTTTACAGGATTTGCTTGGTAACAGCAGGCCTTTGAGATGTGGTGTAAGCGAGGAGGACTGAAAAGCTCACGGACTGTCAACAAACAAAACTATCTTTGAGCAAGTGCAGCCAGGATGCAGCTCAGAGGCGCGGATAGGGACATTTCTTCTTGTGCTGTGGACACAGGGTGAGGAAGGGCTGTTGTTGTTATGTGCCATCGAGTCTCCTGTGTTTCATAGTGACAACAGCTATGAAGGCTGCCCTAGCTGGAGTCAGTCTCAATGACTCAGACACACCTACCTCCCATTGCCCCGCTTATCGTGTCAATTCATCTCATCCAGGGTCTTCCTCTCCTGCACTGTCCCACCACCCTTCTAAGCATGATGTCCCTCTCCAAGGACAGGTTCCTTCTTGGCCACATGCCAAAGTATGTGAGACGGAGTTTCAAAATCTTAGCCTCCAAAGAGAAATTTGGTTTCACTCTAAGACAAATCTATTTGTTCTCCTGGTTGCCCGTGGTATGTTCAATACGCTTCTCCAGCACCACAACTCAAAGGCATCAATTCTTTTTCTGTCTTCCTTAGTCATTGTCTAGCTCTCTGATATGTAGCATGTAATTGCAAAGACCATGGCCTGGATCAGGTGCATCTTAGTCTCTAGACTGACATCTTTGCATCTCAGCGTTCTGGAGAGGTCTCTAACAGCAGATTTCCCTAATGCAAGTCATCTTTTGACTTCCTGACTACTGGTGCCAAGAGTGTTGATGTGGAACCCAGCAAGCTGAAATTGTGAACATCCTCAATCTCTTCTCCGTCCATCATGAAGCTGCCAATTGGCCCAGTGGTGAGAACCTTTGTCTTCCTGACGCTGAGCTTCAATTCATATTGAAGGCTGCACCTTGACCATCTGCAGCAAGCACTTCAGGTCCTCCTCAGCTTCAGCGAGCAGAGCTGTGTCACCTGCATGGAAAAACATCATGGTGGGAAAGGCAGAGGTTCAGCAAAAGAGAAGACCCTCGAGAGCTGGATTGACACGGTGACCACAGTGATGGTTTGAGGCTGGTAGAGGTGACGAGGTGCACAGCGCAGGGAGGCTCACGGGGCCACCATGAGTTGAGGTCAGCTTGATGGCACCTGAGAGCAGCGACAAGGGACCGACCTGAGCAACCCAGGTCAGTCTCCTTACCAACATTGACCCCGTAATCACACCTACAAAGACCTTTCTGTAGGTAATTCAGCCACAATGTGCAAGGTGGAGTCTTGGGAAGCCATTGTTCTGCCATATAACAGGTACAGAATAGTATGGGCCCACCTCAAAAATGTTTCCCTCACTGAAATCCTACAAATACCATTTAAAAAAATAATGACATCAGGGTTGGGGTGAGACTGAGAAAAATTGGATAAATAATGTATACTGCATTGAAACAGATGAGGGAGAAAGCGATACATGATTGGGTATTATGGTTATGACAAGAGTCCAGAATGAAGGTTGCATAGTGGAGTAGACTTGGGGGGAGAGATTGTATACCAATGAAGTAATTTTTCTTTTACTTTTCAAAGAGCAGAGCAAACTGGGGGGGAGGGGTGGGCAGGGAGAAAAATGCAGCAATGAATGAACGGCTATTCAAAATCTCTGTAAACATTCACTAAAATTAATA